TCCCCTAATCCTCTTGTTCCAAAACTGCCAGCAGAGGCACGGCTTGGCTTCGCTCTCCCTGCCCGGGAGGGTTCTGTGTACAGTACACAGGGCCCCCCCACACACACCTTTTGCTGACACTCACAACATGTCCGGGAGAAGCCCAGCTTCACCCTCGGCCTCCCAGCTCCGCGTTGCGCTCACGAGCTCGTGGATGGGCACCAGTTTTCTCCACTCCCTTTGCTTTCTCCATAACAGAGTCAGCCGTGCCCTACGTGTGGCAGGCAGGCTGGCATCTCCGTCTTTGGTCCAGGAAGAACCATCTGTTCCTCTCTCTCCTCCCCCCCCCTGTCTTTGATCTTGTGTTGAGTTCAGGAGGCCCCCGCCTTTGGTCTGCGGAGAGCCCTGGAACATCAGGGCTTAACTGGGGTTTGCGAGAAACCCTCGAGTGAAGGGTTGCCAAACGGGCCGGTTCCCTTCGTCCTTTCGGTCATCTTGAGCTTGTTGACTTCAAAAGGCACCCCTTGTTGATTTTCTGTTTTCCCATCCATGCTGCGTCTGCTTCTTCTTCTTCTTCTCTGTTCCCCTCTGCTGCCTGGACCGTTCCTTGAACCCACCTCCGGAGGCTTTTCTTCTCGTCCTAAAGATGCGCCCCAACATACGTGGGGACCCAGAATCCGGTCGTCTGATTTGTGGCGCCAGAGCACAGCTAAGGAAAAGGGGCTTTTTGTGGCCCCGTTCTCCGAATTCTCCGGCTAGCGGGGCTTTAACACATCCGAGTTTGCACTCCAACTTTCAGCCAGTTGAGATGTTTGCTCCTGACTCTTTTCAGATAACTCAAAAAAATATGTCCATTGCTCAGGACTCTTTATCAAAGATCTTGGATTTACTTGGGGGAAAAAGGAGGAGGAAGAGGAAATGATGTTGATAGTTGTGTCGTTTAGTGAATAGTGTGTGTTTGACTTCTTTTCTAAATATCCTACGTCTTCTAAGCTGAGTTTGGTCATTAAAAGCCGAAGCCGCCAGTATGTGGACAATGCAGTTTCATGGATCCCCGATGTTCCAGACGACAACAAAACCCTGTGACGAGCAAGCGTGCCTCTCGTGTTTATTAACGATGAAAAACAAATCTGGGCATGAAATATTTCAGTACTCCCTGCCAGCTCCCATCACCGAAGTCAGCGTATAAACACTCAGACCTTTCATGCCTGGATTTGCTTTTTTTTTTAAAAAAAAAAAAATTTAATTCCGCCTCTCGGCTTTCTAGATGTTCATTTCCAAGTTGTTGCCTTTGCTAGCAAAAGGCAGGAAAAAGACTTGTTTTAAATAAATGTTGAAATGCTCTGGACACACATACCCACAATTCTTTTTTTAACTTCTCTCCTTCAGCAGTATTTTAAAACCAGGACACGCCTAGCGGATTGAAATAATTTTGATGACCTTTTGGGCTTCTTCTTCTTTCTTTTTTCTCTCTTTTTTTTGCTCTGTATGGTTGTATTTCAGTTTCCAAGCAGCAATCGCTAATTAAAGCATTTCCAGAGGAGAAAGAAAAGGCCACATCGCTCGGTTGTAGCGGAATGTCCTCTGGTCTCTTAGAAATGAAAGCATCTTCTTTTGGCATAAACTTTTATGGACTCGACCCACCGGGTTATAAAACGTTGTTTGTCTTCAGGAAGCCAGAACACTCTCTGTTGTTGGTATCTGAGTTGTTTATCTTAAAATCATCTTTCACAAGACACGTCATTTGCAAATGTTCGGCATACATTGGCTTGTTACAGCTACTGACATAGACTGGCAGGGAGGTGGCTGTTATTCTCCTGCAATGCCGGCAGAGGCCAATGGCCGAACCCTGTGACCACCGGGCAGTGTGTTTATAGCAGGGAGCTTGATGCCAGGGGGTGCCTGGTGATTGATAGCCTGCTCCTGCATGGTCAGACAGTCTGGTCCTGCACATGTTTTCTTGATGTGAAGGCCTGCTGTGCTCACTAGGGATTTTAGCCATGGCTTGCTGGAGGGCATCACCTCTCAGGATTCCCCAAAGTGTTATCTGGCTTTCCTTTGGTAGAATCACAAAACGGGCTTCTGTTGTTTTTATTTCTTTTATTTGTTTGTTTTTTATGTTGTTTTATTTATTATTGTTTCAGAGTTTTGAATTTCTCGTTAAAATTCCATTGGCTACTCGGGAGAACTACAGAAATTCACAGAATAGCTATAAGATGCCCAGAGAGTCCACCCCTTTCACTCTGAGAAATTGGTAGGAGGAAGAATAAAAACATTTCCTTACTTACAACTGTGAACAAATCAACAGCCAATGAAAAATGCTTTTGACAGGCTAAAGAGGGGGGGGAAGGAAGCACTCAGCAGAGAGGCGGGGCTCTCTTTGAATTCAGAGGCGAGAGGGAACGATTGGTTAGTGCTAAATAGATTGACAGTTACCCCAGTGCAGAAAAGCCCTTCTAGTCAATCAAACTGTAGGGGGCATGCGAGGTTGTAAGATCTCCAGCAATTATTTCAGTTGGACACTGGTTTAAAAGGGGAAATGGGATTCTCTCTTAGAAGGCCGTGAGTTCTCTTTTGTTACATGTAGGATGGCCATGCAATAGAAATCCTTTCGCTATGGATTTCTTGTGTCCTGAATGCTGAACTAGATGACCCCTGGGTGCCCCTTCCAATTACATTTGTATGATTCTAGGTTCTGTTTAGTCTGATAGCCTCACCCTTTAAACTTTGAGCACCCTCCTTTCCTGGAATGGTCAAGAGTCCTTTTAAGCCAAACTTGAGCATGTAAAGAGTGTTTTCCTCACCACCACCAAGCAGCTGCCGCCCTGCGCTGTATTCTCCGAAGGAAAGAACGAGATGGTTGTTGTGTGTTTTTTTTCCGGCCTCTGGGCCTTTGCAGAGGCTTCCGGCTCGCTCTGTGGTTGGCTGTCTTAGGATAAAACCACGCATCTCCGTGGTACCTGTTTGACACCCAGTTCACAGGCGTCGCTCGACATCCCGGGATTCGGAGTGGGGTGAGGTCCTCTGGATTCGAGAGCGAGCTGACCCATCGGCCTCACCCAGCCCCAAAGTCCAGGATTCCCGAGGAGTTAATGAAACGGAGCCGTCGCTGGGAAAGTGACTTCCCTCCGGCTCATAACAGCAGCGCCGTGTGGAATGCCCTTTTGCAGTGGGACCGGGTGGGAGAGAGACGCCGTGAACAGTGAAAGCTTTGTTGCTTGTGTTTCTGTCCCTCTGGTGTGTCACGGCTGCTCGCCTTTCGGCTGGTTCCCCCCCCCCCACTGTGCCGGATCCCGTTCAGCCAAACAGGCGTTGTCGTTTGTCTCCCGCTGGCAGGACTGGTCTGGCTGAGCCCTCGAGGGGCCTAGTTTTGCGTATTCTGGCTCATGGCCTTTGCTTGGTTTCAGGGACCCTTCTCATCCTGGCAGGGTCGTGAGCCAGTGGAGAGAAAAGAGGGGTCTCCTTTTGGACTACAAGCCCCAGAATCCTCAAGCAGGCACAGCCCATGGCTCTGCTGGTCAGGAGCTTCCGGGCGCTGGGGTCCAGAAAAAGTAAAAAAATATTCAGTCTCTGGATAAAAGAAGGAACTGCTTTGATTGTAGCTGGGGGTCCCGTGGGTAGCATACGGTAGGTCTCCGGCTGGGCCTCTTTGACAGGAGCTGATGATCCATAGGGTGCTTTCCGGCTGTGCAGTTCTAAGATGATGAGGATGATCTAAAGCAGATTCATTCACCCGGCTCCATCTGTTATGGTGGCTCTTCGTTCAGGGTGGGTCTTTCGAAATTAGACCCTGTAAATCTACGTTTTCCCAAGGCAAAAACTCATCTTTCTGTGTGAATGTTACCGTTTGTGTAACTGTGAGGTGTTTATGTAAATGCGGACCTATTCCTCTGTTGCAAGATATGTCCTCCTTGCATTTAGAAAACTAGCTTCTCAGAGACAGGGTGAATTGTTTAGCTTAAGGGGAAAGACCGCATGTTTTGTGCACAAAAACTTTGAAGCCCAGCATCTCTCTCCCTCCAAAGGACCTCCAGCAACTGGGGGACGGGGAGGGGAGGGTTGGAAAATCTGGAGATCTTGGGAGAGCCAACCCATAGACAGAGTAGCCTTATTGGGGACGGATGAGCCCAGGGGATCTAACGCGCTAGATGGGGGTCTCTTTGTCTGGCCGCACTCCTTTTGCGCTATGACAGCCAGTGTGGGAGTCGTCTTCTGACGCATCTGCAGCGCATCAGGTTAAGGAAGGCGCACATAATTTTTGGGTGGGGTTAGGGTTCCCTGGATGCAAAGCCGCAACAGAGAAGGCTGGCCGGTCCTCTTGCAAACTAGCTGTCTCCTGACCTCCCCCCCCCCCGAAGCTTTCCCGCTGACCCAAAAATGCTTCGACTTTGTGAAGGTCTTTCCTGTCCTTTGAGAGCCGTGAGGTTAGAAGCTGGCGAAAGACTCTGTCCTTCTCCCAACAGTGCCCCTGAGCATGTTCAGAGTCCTTTTAGTACACTGCCAAGTAAGATTGATTAGGGAGCCCTGGTGGGTAAAAAACAAATACTTTAGTCAGCATTTTTTAAGTCATTCCTTAAATTTCCAGGGTTTAGAAATCCCAGGTCAGAGGATATTCACTTGGAAGCGCCAGGATTTTCACTTCTCTCTTCTTTCCTCTTGTGACAGGTTTCAGAAACATGTTCATACCTACCGGATTTTGCCTGACGAGGAGGATTTTCTGGCCGTGCAGGTGAGCGAGCGCCGGGCCTTTCGTGCAAGGAGGAGCTTGACTTGGGAGGTCGCCCGTGTCCCCTCGGTTCCAGCAGTGAGCGCGGAAAAGGGGCTCGTAGTTGCCCCTTGATGGAGGCTCTTCGTCCTCATGAAAGGGAAGAGGGAGGAATGACCCCCCCCTTCCCAGTCCCAGAGGAGACGTCAGTTCCGCAAAAGGGTTGCTCCTTCTTCCTCCTCATTCATCCCCTGCTGGACGTTGTAAAGCCAAAAGCAGAGGGTGCTGCTTGCACATCGCACTCTTGCATAGTGCTTAAAGCACTCTGTAGGTGATTTATAACGTAAGTGTGCAGGCTTTACTTTGTGCACGCCTCCCCCCCCCAAAAAAAAGCAAGCTTGGTAATCAAGTTTACTGACCTCAGAAGGATTGAATGCTGAGTCAACCTTGAACCGGCAGCCTGAACCTATTGTGATCAAACTCTGGTTCTGAGCAGAGTCTGGACCGCAGGACTGCAGTTTAACCGCTATACCACAAGGCTTGTCTGACTTGCATCCACATCAATCTCTTCCAGGTACAATCAATGAGGTGTTCTTCTCATTTATTTTACCTTGAATGAGCAGCTTTAACAATGCTTTTTCTTCCTCGGTGCAGGACCGGCTTCTTTTAGCTCCCTGCATCCTCCATGCTTTATGATTTCTAGTTCTGTAGTCATTTAGGACTTCTTGCTTTTGTGAGCGTAGTGTGTGTGTAATACTTCTTGCTGTCCGTAAGCAGGAGAAATCTGAGCTAAAGGCTTCAGGCAGGCTTCTCTCCTTCTGCAAACACTGCTTCCAGGTTGCAAACCTGGGGTGGGGTGGAGGTAGGGTTGTAGTCAGGATGTTTACTAAAATGCAGAACTGATTTCCTCTTTTTTTGGACCGGCCGCTCCTGGAAGCCCGGCATGGCATCGGGGCGTGGGAAGGGATTATGGGAGTGACTGCCTCGATCGTTTGGACGGCCAAAGCTGTCGACCCCCCCCTTCCATCAGTTTCTCTCCCAGTCAGCCTCATTAGGAGTCCCCAAAGAAAACTCCTCAACAGGAGGGAGGAAGGAGTCGGGATGGGGCTCCTTCTCTGAGCGCCCAGTTGATGGAGCGGCTTGCAGGTCACCATAGAAGGGGGCCGCATTAAGAGAGCCACTTCAGTGTTCCCCAACTTTTTGGGACCGCGGACCAGCTGAGCCTCTGAAGAAACCAGGGAACCCCTCCCGTGCTCTCGGGCGCATGTGCGAAGCAGTGGGGGAGCACTCACATTGGCGCTGGCACATGCACTTGTGCACAAAGCAGCTGTGGGGAGGGGAGAAGTCCCATTTCTGGAGGAAGGAGGAAGTTCTTCCAGTGCCTCCCAGTAATGGCAGGGAAGGAGGGATTACAGCCCTGCGCCTCTGAAGAAACCAGGGAACCCCTCTCGTGCTCTCGGGCGCATGTGCGAAGCAGTGGGGGAGCACTCACATTGGCGCTGGCACATGCACTTGTGCACAAAGCAGCTGTGGGGAGGGGAGAAGTCCCATTTCTGGAGGAAGGAGGAAGTTCTTCCAGTGCCTCCCAGTAATGGCAGGGAAGGAGGGATTACAGCCCTGCCAGGATTCGTGGGAAGGCAGCCCCCTCAGGATGGCGCTGTTGCCCTGATGAGCTTCCCGTGGGGCCCGGGAGGGGGGGGACTGGATGCTGGGCACAGAGATTAGAAATGTTCCTTTCCTGGACCCCAACTGGAGTCCCCCTCAAAAAGGGAATCTCCTCAATGTCTGTCCGGATTTCTGTCTCTTTTCCCAGGTGTTTTTGTGTGTTTCTGTGCGTGAGTGAGAGAGAGTGAGAGAGGATGAAGTTCAGCGGTTGCAAAAGTGTCTCCTGCAGAAGTGGGTCACCCTCCCTCCCTCCTTCTGCCTGCCGAAGGGCTCCTCCCGTCCCTCTTGGGCAGCCCAGGCCGCTGGCGGGAACCCCGAGGATGCCCACATGCTGCTTGCTGATCTTGGCAGCTGGCCGGCCTGACCCATGCATGGGCTGGTTCATTTATAGCCCAACAGTGACTCTTTTGTGCGGTCCCAGGAGCAGGAAAAAGCCAGCCCTGGACAAGGGGGGCCCTGGGGCAGGGCGGGGAGAAGCAAGCGGGGCCGACTGGCCGTCCGTCCGGCCGGCTGCACCAAGAGCGAGGCTGGGAGGAGGGACTCCTCTGTGGGGCCTTGTGGACACCACTGACCGCTCACGGGCAGGCCAGCTTTTGAGTCTGGCGGGGCTGTTCCTCAAGACTAGGCGTCGCAGAGTTTCAGAGCTAGCAAGAGGAGAACTTCAAAACCGTTCTGGCTAAATGTGGACGCTTCCGGATCAGGGCCTGAGATGAACCTCTGAGAGGGAGGTTCCAAAACAGAAAAAGTTTCTGCCTGTTGTTGTCCTCCAGCTAAAGGCAACGGTAATTTCCCCGTTCACCTCCAAGAAGCAGATGCCAGAGGCACTGAACCCTAAGTCCCATCGTCCCCCCATCGGTTCTGCCGCTTTTGAAAAGGAAGAGGCAGCCACGTGGCCCTGTCCACAAAGACCGGCGTCCCTATTAGGAGAACACTTTCAATAGCACCCCTTGCAAGACGCCACACCTGGTGCCTTTTATTAAGGTGGGACCTGAAAAGATGAGGTGTGAAGCTAAGAAAGCAGGCGTTCCTGGAACACTTTAAAGCGAAGGCAACGAAAACCGTGAGCGACCGTCTGTCCCACCCACGCATCTGGCGCTTCCGGTGCTAGAATTGACACAGAACCTTCTAGGCAAAACATCTGGATTATTTATTAACTGTGTTCCTGCAGCCCCTTCCAGCGCAAGAGTTAAAAGTGCCGTTCCTTCTAGTTGCATGGACAACCAAAAGGTTGCAAGAACACAAGTTAATCAGTAATCCAGTTGTCCTGCCTTGAGTTCTGTGCTCGGGCTGAGTGACGAAGGGGGGGGGGATGTCATCGAAGGGCGGAGGCTTTGCCTTCGGAGCAGAAGGTTCAGAGCCGAAGGACATCTCCCGGCTGGCCGGAGGTGGGAAAATCCTGTCCCAAACCCTGGAGAGACACCGCCAGCGGTCTTGGGTTGCCAGTCCTGAGCCAGGGGGTGGGGTCCTTGGGCTCTGGTGCAGGTTTTCCATTCCTTCTTGAGCTAAGGGTGCCACGGTGTCCCCCCCCCCAAGCTTTTGAGGTTTACGGTGCTGGCCGGCCTGATTTCCATCTTCGCCTGGGCCGCTGGGAGAGCGAGAGGGCGGCTTTCTGTGGTTAAAAATGAAAGCGGACGTTTTCGAGGTTGTGGAAGGGCTCCTGTTCTTGGCTCCTGTTGAAAGTGGAACAGGGGAAAGATAATAACAAGGGAAGGAAGGAGTGGGGGGAATGCCATTCCATAGGAAGGGCCCGCTGCTCACTCTCTCTCTCTCTCCCCACGGCCAGCTCAAAGTTGGGGTGGGGAGAAAGTTTTTAAAGACCCTGCAGAGAATTAAAAGGGGTGGGGCAGGGGAACGCTCAATACTCCCAGCATTTCTGTCATGCTTTTCTGGAGGGCTCTCGCTCCTGCCATTCTGGTGGGTTTTTTTGTGTGTGCACACCCACACCGGGGCTTCGAAGCCTGATACCCTTTGGGACTACAGGTCCCAGAATCCCCCGAGCCCACACGGCTACTGACATGGTAGCTCAGAGATTCTGAGAGCATTCGTCCAAAAATAATTGCAGTCGGAAACAAGGTCTTGCAGGGCCGACCAAATAACGCCTTCATGAGAGGTGCCCAGATTTATGTTTGGCGGGCTACAGCTCCGTGAATTTCTGGGCTGCCCAAGGAACGCAGGGAGATCAGTTCCACAGACATGAAGCTGCAAACCTTTCTTTCTTCGCCACCGGTGTGAGAATCCCATCTCCCCATTTGTGCTGTTTCTCGCTTCTCTGTTCCATGCGGTGGAAAGCTTAGGTGGTGCAGAATCGCCTTGGGTTGGTGGCCTTCAAAGCCTTGCTGTAATCATCTCCCCTTGGGCCAAGAAGGAGATGACGGGGATGAAGAATCCCCACGGAGGGGCAGAAAGGAGAGGGACACCATTTCATTTCATTCCATGCCGTTTGTGCAAAAACTCTTCTCACAAATGTGAAAACACACATCAGGGCCAAAGAGAAATATCTTGCCCTCTTCGAAGGAGAAGAGAACGGTGGTTTGGTTTCTCATTCCTGCACAAAAGAATGAGATATAATGTCTATTTCTTATTTACCATCCATCGGTTTGGGCTCAAGAGTTCTGTTAATTCATCCGTGACCTAGAAATTAAGGCTTTCATTAGCCAGATGACTTCCCCATTTTGTTCCAGTCTGTTCCAGCTACCCCCAAGCCATCACCTTCCATATGCGTTGGACTACCGCTACCATCATCCCCAGCCTTCACTTTGGGTGCAGGAGCTAAGTCCTGGGGCAAAGGATTCTTCCACATTGTCATAAAATAGGAGAGGCCAGAGATGAACCCAAGGTCCTTCTGACCACAGAGCACTGCTGGACTACAAGACCCAGCATCCACATACCAGCATGTGCATGATCTCTCAGGAGGAGTGAAGGCACAGGCCAGGCCCTAGCGAGAGGAGGAGAGAGCCAGGTGGGAAAATATGTGGAGAGTTTCTGACTCTCTGCATACCCATCATGGGCTCTGCTGCTGAGTTACAGCCCTTCCTACGTTCGGCTGAAAATCCGTAACGGACGGTGCATATTTTTAAAACAGAGTTCTCCATGCATGCAGAATGTTTGGATCTTAAGACAGAAACAAGGCTGAGGTTGCTGTGAAAGCATTCAGCATGGCGGTGAATTGTTGAGCACAGATTAAGGGGTGTTCCAGGGGTGTTCTGGGTGCTAAATTGGCTGGAGGGGGGGTTACTCTTTGGGACGACTGCTCTGGTGTGGCTTCTTCCCCAGCTGTGACCAGTGGGTGAGTTCAGTGGCACCTGATGGAGGGTGTCTACCTGTTGTACTTCCCAGGCTGTGGCTGGTAGGAAACTCCTGGCACCATAGCTTTAAATTGGCATTAAGCATGTTGGGCTTCAGATATATCTGACACCTATAGTCCAGCCTGTATTAGAAGCATTTGACTCTCACAGAAATTATAGTTTAGCACATCCGGAGGGTGCCATTGTTGCAGAGTTTTGAATTTTTGGTTAAATTTCTTTAGCTGTGCAGCAGAAGTGGAGGGATTTATGGAGCAGAATAGCTTCAAGTTCAGTCGAGCACCCCTTTTTCTCATTAACTGGCATTTAACAGTCTCAGTAACTCACTATGAGAGGTTAAGTAGGAGAAAGAATAAAAGCTTTTCATTTACTTACAGTTGCAAGTACTGGAGCCTCAGCTTCAGGATCTGTCCTTCCAGTGAACACTGGGGATTGACTTCCTTCAGAATGGACAGGTTTGTTCTCCTTGCAGTCCAGGGGACTCTCAAGAGTCTCCTCCAGCACCACAATTCAAAGGCATCAATTCTTCGGCGGTCTGCTTTCTTTATGGTCCAGCTCTCACTTCCATACATCATGACAGGAAAAACCATAGCTTTGACTATTCGGACTTTTGTTGGCAAGGTGATGTCCCGGTGCAGCAGTTTCCTCACCAAGGTCTTAACTGCTAACCTGGAAAACCTCAATGGATCCCCCAGCTTGTGCAGCAGTCTACCCCAGGATCCCTGTTGCCGAGGGGCAGAATGTCGGGGACAGGCTCCTGTCGACGCATCCCGGGTGAAAACATCTTGAGAGAAGGCCGCGCAGTCTCTCGGCCTGATCCAACAGTGTTATTTCCTCTCTCGGTGGTCTGTTCGGCTTCCCTTCCACCGCAGAGAAGAACTCCGGTCGTTAGGTTTCTCATCCTTGTGATTTGCCCCCAGTTGCGCCGTGCGCCCTGCGTCTTGTGACTGCTCGGTACAGGGGCTTCGGTCCTAGGCTGGTGCCCCGGAGGTGTCCTGGGCGACCCCTCTGTCCCTCCTGACGGTGTCCTTTCTTTCCTCCCCTGCAGACGTCCCAGGGGGTCCCGGTGCGGCGGTTCAAGACCCTGAGCGACCTCATTGCGCTCTACCTGCAGCCGAACCAGGGCCTGGTTTGCACCCTCCTCTTCTCGGTGGAGCGGGAGAAGGAGAAGGAGAACGTCGAGGACAGGGACTATTCAGGTACAAGCCTCCCCCCCCTTGCTCTCCCCAAACGATCCCCTATGCCATTGCCAGATGCCACACCTGCTCGATCTTTGGCCCCAAACCCTCTCTTCTAGAGCCGGTGGGCAGCATCCTCAGCAGGGATCACCTCTGAGATCCCTGGGTTTCAAGGGGGTCTTTTAATCTTTTGGAGAACAACTCTCATGATGGCCGGGGGATGTTGGGGTTTGTAGTCCTAAAGCCCACATTTCCCTCTTCTGCTGCGTCGCGTTCCAGTCTTCCCCGGCTAGAGTCCAGCTGGCAGGCACTCGGGTGGGGATGAGCCAGGGCTTCGTTGGGGCGGGCATGAAAGCGCTGAGCCCCAGGGACCGGTTGCCAACCCCCGAACTCAGACCTAGGAACCCAAAAAGCAGACGTCCGGGAGTTCGCAGCCACTAGAGTAGGCCCATTGAACGGGTGGGAGTAAGGAGGAGTTGACTTGTCCAATCCGACAGATTCAGTGGAGCTCCTCGAGTGGCAGTTTACTTCTGGGTCCCTGCCCTTGAGTCGGACCCTCGGTCCTGCTAGCCCAGCGTCGTCGGCTCGGATGGGCAGCCGGGACCGTCCTCCAGGATGTCAAGCGTGATCCTTCCTGGCGATTCCCTGCCTGTCCCCTCTTTGAGTTCTTCCCAGGCTCCGTCCCGCTCAGGGCCAGACCTCGAGGGGTGCTCGTGGTGGCATGGGCCCCCAAGGGTGCCGACGCAGCCCTTGAAGATGTGCGGCGCGATATAACGTCCACATGTCTTTCCTCATAACTAGATGCGGTGGAGCACCTAGAAGGAGGTCGCCTGGACCAGAATGTGGGTCTTGGGAGAATGTGGGGGGTGGAGTGGCGTGGCATGCAATGCAGGGAAGCGGGCAGGGCCCTTGTGCGTGGTGGCCCCCTTCGGTCTCCTGGCTCACGTAACCGGGTGCAATAGATACGGAGCGGGTAAGGGAGGGTCCATGTGGGAGATCTTCTGCTTCTCCCCCAGGGAAGATTCCCTGCCTGACCTGCCACCCCCAAAATTCTCCTTTTGAGAACTGGCTCGACGTCTTATGTCCCTTCCGCCCACCACCGATGGCGCCTCTCGGGTGGTTGCTCCCGGCGGACGGTTGGCCTTCTCTCTTCCAGATGGGGAGGACGAGAAGCCCCCGTTACCGCCCCGCTCGGGATCCACCAACATTCCAGGTGGCACTGCCGCCTCTGGCCTGGCGTCCAACAACCCTGCCGTGCAGGACGGGAGTCTTGAAGGGTAAGTGGTGCAGAACCCAAAAATCCCTCCTCTGGCGGGTGGCACTGGGGGGGGGGTTGGACATGGCTTTGTGGTGTAATCTAGCGGGGCAGGTGTAACTCATCGCTGGTCCTCACCATCCAGCACCCCCCCCTCATGTTGGCCAGTCTGCTTCTCCTCTGCCCTTGCTCAAAGAAACGGACACTCTGCTGGGTGATGCTCTGAAGCCACCTTTTATGGGAGAAAGGCAGGATTAAAATATTTCAGATAAACAAATGTCAATAAATGGACGCGGACAAATCCTGAGCGATATTGGGCCTCCCCAGTTGGAAAAAAAGTCACCTCTCTTTTTTGGGACTAGAATTTCCAGATTATTGTTGTTGTTGTTGTTTTGTTTTAAATGCATGTAGTGCCACCAATGGGCTCAGCACCGTCTCCCATGAATACCTGAAAGGCAGCTATTCCCTGGACCTGGAAGCGGTCAAGGCAGGTGCCAGCAGCCTGCCCCACCTCAACAAAACCCTGGTCACCTCCTGCAAGCGGCTGCACAGGTGAGAGGGAAGGAAGGAAGGAGCTGATGATGGGAGGGAGGGAGGGAGGGGCCAGCCGCTGCATGCAGGGGCATGCATGCCATCGTGTTTGAGGGAGGGGCCACCCCAACCGCCCTTCTCTGTTCACTCGCATTCATGCGACAGGAGGGATACACGGTCCTGGTGGGGGCCCTGAAAAAAACTTCCCTGGAGACCCACCAAAGTGGGAGTGCGGGCTTTTTGGCCATGGGTTGGACAGACATTTAAATGGCCAACATTAGGCAGGAATTTGCTGGTTCGACACCACCTCTTTCATTCCAGGTGTTTTTAACTTCATTGCCTTCCACTTTGGTGAATCACAGTGTGACGGGGCTGCAGAAAATGCAAATGCTATTTGAGGATGCATTAATAGAAGTATAGTTTGCAAATCCTACAAACTGCTAGTCCTCCTCTATTCAGCACTGGCGGTTGTTGTTTAGTTGTTTAGTTGTGTCTGACTCTTCGTGACCCCATGGACCAGAGCACGCCAGGCCCTCCTGTCTTCCACTGCCTCCCAGAGTTTGCTACCAAATTCATGTTGGTGGCTTCGGTGACCCTGTCCATCCATCTCATCCTCTGTCGTCCCCTTCTCCTCTTGCCTTCACACTTTCCCAACATCAGGGTCTTTTCCAGAGAGTCTTCTCTTCTCATGAGATGGCCAAAGGATTGGAGCCTCAGCTTCAGGATCGGTCCTTCCAGTGAGCACTCTGATTTCCTTCAGAATGGATAGGTTTGTTCTCCTTGCAGTCCAGGGGACTCTCAAGAGCCTCCTCCAGCACCACAATTCAAAAGCATCAATTCTTTGGCGGTCAGCCTTCTTTATGGTCCAGCTCTCACTTCCATACATTACTACTGGAAAAACCACAACTTTGAATATTCAGACTATTTTAGCCATTTAGTTGTGTCCAACTCTCCAAGAGGGGAAACTTCATATGATGTAAAGTCGTTGGTTGCCAGCGCTTGTTGTAATTTGTTTGTTGTTGTTTAGTCCTTAAGTTGTGTCTGACTCTTCATGACCCCACGGACCAGAGCAGGGCAGGCCCTCCTGTCTTCCACGGCCTCCCGGAGTTGGGTCAAATGTCATGTTGGTCACTTTGATGACCCTGTCCAGCCATCTCATCCTCTGTCGTCCCCTTCTCCCCTTGCCTTCACACTTTCCTAACATCAAGGCCTTTTCCAGGGAGTCTTCTCTTTTAATGAGATGGCCAAAGGATTGGAGCCTCATCTTCAGGATCTGTCCTTCCAGGGAGCACTCAGGGTTGATTTCCTTCAAATCAGCACTGGTTAGGCCTCACCTTGTGTATTGTGTCCAGTTCTGGACACCACACTTTAAGAAGGATGCTAACAAATTGGAACAAGTTCAGAGGGAAAAATGGACATGTTTAGACTGGAGAAAAGAAGGCAGAGGGGAGATAATATGATAGCACTTTTCAAATATTTGAAAGGCTGTCCTACAGAGGAGTGGCAGGATCTGTTCTCGATCCTCCCCGTGTGCAGGACAGGCAACGAGGGGCTCAAGTTACAGGAAGGCAGATTTCAGCTGAATGTCAGGAAAAACCTCCTGTTAGAGCAGTACAATAATGGAACCTTTGACCTTGGGAGTGGATGAGTGCTCCAACCCTGGAGGCATTCAAGAAAAACTTAAATCATCTCCTGGCAGATCTGCTTTGATTGTATTCCTGCCTTGAGCAGGGGGTTGGACTGGATGGCCTCACAGGACCCCTTCCAACTTCATTTTTCTATGAGTCTATGAATTGTAGTTTTAGCGTTGCTGCCTGTTAGAAATGAAGGGTTCAGAATTTGGGGGAAGGTCTCACGGGATGGTGTTGCATTCGTGGGATGTCTCCCACCCTTCTGAATAGCAACAACTCTGCAGGATCTCCAGCAGAGAAGAACAGACCTTGGAAAAAATGACCTTTTCTTTGAGTCTATGAATTGTTGTTTTAGCATTGCTACCTGTTGGAAATGTTCAGAATTTGGGGAAGGTCTCATGGGATGGTGTCGCATTTGTGGGATGTCTCCCACCCTTCTGAATACCAACAACTCTGCAGGATCTCCAACAGAGAAGAACAGACCTTGGAAAAAATGACCTTTGGGAGGCTTACACTTTCCCACCCTGACAGCATGCCTGCTGGGCTGTCCTTGCAGGAGTTGGATACCCCAGTACTGGCCAGGGATAGACAGGGGACCTTTGCATGCTCACTGACTGCAGGAAGGAGCTGCCTGTGATCTAGTGCTTAGAGAGCCGCGTTAGGCCTTAAACTAGACCCGAGTTCCAATCCACACTCAGCTAGGAAGTTCCTTTGGGCCAGCCCTGATCTACTTTGCAGGATCGTGTCTTGAGCAACAGAGGATGAGAAGGAGAGCCAGCTAGGCTACCTTAAGGCCACTGGAGGGTATTAAGCAGTGGGATATAAGAATCGCAATAATAATAGAAAAGAGGGGGCGATGATGAAACGGAGGTAGCCAGGGGGAAAGGCCACGGCTGTTTGGAACCCTGCGCAGGAAGGCTGCAGGAAGCTGAATCAGAGAGACATGACGCCCTGTTCTTCTCCTTGCAGCGAAGTGGACAAAGTTTTGTCCGGCCTGGAGATCCTGTCCAAGGTCTTCGACCAGCAAAGCTCCCCTATGTTGTCCCGGATTCTGCAGCAGGTGAGTAGGTGGGGCGAGCTGGAAAAGAAAAGGAACCAACAGTGGGTGGGATGTTCTCCCCTGTGTGGGAAAATGTAAGATTTTTGCTCCCCACCCCTCCATCGTCTCTGGCCCCGTCTGGCTCCCTCCCGATGTTCTGGATGGCAGCTCTCTCTGCATACCCCTCGTCCGACAGTAGATGCCCCAACTCGTCTTGAACGGTGACGCGTCGGGAGGCGGCCTCTGCCTTTTATGCAAAGAGACGCCATTGGGTTCCTCCCTTCATCCTTGGGCTCTGCGGAAGACGGGTCCTGAACTTATGGGGTTTTTAAGCCACGAATCATACAAATCAAAGTGGTAGCTTAGAGAGAACCTGTCCCCCAAAGAACTTCCCTTGTTTGAGTCCTCGAGGTGGCCAGGCTACCTATTTAGGAGGCAGAGGCAGAGATGAAAGAAATGAAATCTTTCTCTGAGAGTGTCGCTCCCAGGACCTCTTTTTTTAGGGCTGTGTGGGCTACAGGTAGTCTGGGAGCTGTGATCCAGAAAGCCATTTATTTTTCCCCAAGTTCTGGACGGAATGCCGGTTTCCCACCCAGCCAGGGCTCCTGCTGGCCTCGGGGAGTTTAATTCGTCTTCCCCTTTTGCAAGGTTTGAGCCTTTCCTTGAGCCGTGGGACTTCCTGAAACCAGGGAGGTCCAAACTCACTTCCTGTCAGGTCTCCAGCCGGCCTGACCGGATCGGTCGCCATACACCCTGGCTAGTCCCGCGCCTCTCTAAAATAACTCTCCTGACCTGCCACCTCCTGGCAGGTTTTTTTGGAACACAGTTCTCATCCTCCCCAGTCAGTACCACCCGCGCCATGCTTTGCAAACTCTCTACCTCCTCGCCTCCCTGTTCAGAGACCTTGGAAAGATGTACGGCTGAGCAAGTCGCCTCTTGCCTTGCTTTGAGCTTCCCCTGTAAAATGAGGCTGAGCAGCCAAAAAGCTGAGCTGTGTTGTTTTCTCCCTTGGGACCCTGAGCCCAAGGGCCCACCCTGTCTTGGGGAGGGTCTGGGGGCATCCTGGGTCCCAGCTCTGAGAAGGGCACAGGATGTGAATCCGTGAAATCCAATAAATAGACCTTCCATTTTTGGGTGGGAAGTTGATGGACGGGGCTCTGTCCATTGTCAATTTTTAAGCACAGTAGAGGCCACATAATGTGACGTGGTGGCGCTGCGGGTTAAACCAGGGGGTCTGTCCATTGTCAATTTTAAGCACAGTAGAGGCCACATAATGGGACGTGGTGGCGCTGCGGGTTAAACTGCAGAAGCCTCTGTGCTGCAAGGTCGGAAGACCAAGCAGTCGTAAGATCGAATCCAGGCGACGGAGGGAGCTCCAGTCTCTTGTCCCAGCTCCTGCCAACCTAGCCGTTTGAATGCATGTAAAAATGTGAGTAGATAAATAGATACCACCTTGGTGGGAAGGTCATTCCATGTCTAGTTGCGCTGGCCAAGTGACCATGGAAGTGGTCTTCGGACAAACGCTGGCTCTACGGCTTGGAGACGGGGATGAGCACCACGCCCTAGAGTTGGACTGGACTCAATGTCAAGGGGAATCTTGACCTTTAGAGGCCACATGGACAAATCTACTAGGAAACTAATTGAGTTTAAGCTTCAGGTCCCATAATACCCATGAGTGACTTTTAAAAAAAGGGTGTCAATCTGCTGTGGAACAACCCCATTAAAGAAGGTCACGGGCTACCCTAACCTCATTGCTGGTTGTAAAGGGGGCCCTGTAACTGTTCAAGCTTCAGCGCCCCAAAATGTAGGCCCACCACCGGGAGACTGAGCTCAAGGGCCCCCCCCTTTCTTCACCTCCACCCACCCACCCCTTAGTATACAGATGTTTTTCTTCAGCTGCTGTTCTTTCATGACTCCGCTTTGTGATTTCTAGACGGCTGGTCAGACAGGAGAACAGGAGTTGGAGAGTCTGGTCTTGAAGCTCTCCATCTTGAAGGACTTCCTGTCCACCATCGAGAAGAAGGTGAGTGTTCCTGTCTCGTCCACGTTTTCAGCCTTCTTGCCGGTTCGGGGCAGCTCAGCTGGCCTTCCTATGGGTGCGATTTTCCTCTCGGGAGACCCTGGACAGAACAGCTATCTCCTGGCTACCTGCTTTTTTTTGCCCAGCTCTGTGAAACTCAAAGCCCTCCACGGAATGGGATCCGGGCTTGGTCCCGTTTCAAAACGGGCAGGGCAGAGAGCCGACGCTGTACATGCCAGCGAGGAAGAAGAAGAAGACGCTCAAAAGGAATACATGGGTGCAATTTTGGTCACCCTGCAGATTAAATTTGTTTATTTATTTAATACTTGAAAGGTTGTCCTACAGAGGAGGTGAAACTCAAAGCCCTCCACGGAATGGGATCCGGGCTTGGTCCCGTTTCAAAACGGGCAGGGCAGAGAGCCGACGCTGTACATGCCAGCGAGGAAGAAGAAGAAGACGCTCAAAAGGAATACATGGGTGCAATTTTGGTCACCCTGCAGATTAAATTTGTTTATTTATTTAATACTTGAAAGGTTGTCCTACAGAGGAGGAGCAGGATCCTTATTTAAATACCTGAAAGGTTGTCCTACAGAGGAGGAGCAGGATCTGTTCTCCATCATCCCACAGTGCAGGGCAGATAACAATGGGCACAAAGGACCAGAAGCCAGATTTAGACCGAATGTCAGGAAAAACTTCCTAACTGTTAGAGCAGTAGGGCAACGGGAACCCATGACCTGAAGAGGTGGTAGTGAGCGCTCCAACTCTGGAGGCCTTCAAGGGGCAACGGGAACCCATGACCTCAAGAGGTGGTAGTGAGTGCTCCAACTCTGGAGGCCTTCAAAAGAAAACTGTACTACCACGATGAATCCTCCGCGCAGTGTGTGGGTGCATTACAGTGGTGCCTCGCTTAACGAGCGCACCGTTTAACAACGAATTCGCATAGCGACCTGTTTTTTGCGATCGCATTGCCAAAACATCACATTGCGATGATCGGTACCCGTTTTTTGCCAAAACATCACATTGCGATGATCAGTAAGCATTTCGCTTACCGATCTTCACATTGCGATGTTCTAAAAACAGCTGATCGGCGGTTCCAAAATGGCCACCGGAAGAAAAATGACCCCCCACTCCATTTTCGCACCCTGCCCTCGCTTACCGGGCGGCGAAAATGGCGGCCGGATGAGGGAATCTTCGCATAGCGGTGAGTTTTCGCCCCATAGGAACGCATTAAATGGAGTTTAATGTGTTCCTATGGGTTCCCCCCCGCATAGCGACGAATCCGATTAGCGACGTTAATCCTGGAATGGATTAACATCGCTATGCGGGGCACCACTGTATTATGGGATTCATGGCCACAGGGTGCCACCATGAGGGCTGCCAGCTTGGGTGGCTTTAAACAGGGTTTGGGTCCTTGGGTGGAGGGTTCTGGAGACAACCAGCTGGCCACTCTATTGTGGGAACTGAAAGAGCCCCCTGGAAGAGCCCCCATGGTCTGGTCCAGCGCCAGGGATCCTCTGATGCGGCCAGGACGGTCCTGACCCGCACCTTCTGAACCGTGCATGGTCCTTGGTAGGAGGGGACCTGATCCCGACCGTCATCGCCAGGAAAGCATAGGTGGAGGCAGAGCGTCCCTGCAGGATCAAAGCAACTTAGGATGGGGATAGGTGGGGACCTCCTGAGGCGCAGTCCCTAAAGTGGGGGGGGCTGGCAAGGCCTTCTCCCTGTGAGGCCCCACCCTCTCTCCAAAGCCTGGAGCCAGGGTGGGGCTCCGAGCCCAGCAAAGAAGGGGAGATGCTGGCTTTTCCCCATTTCCACGGACTTTCTGCCAGGAGCCGGCTGACCCTGTATCTGCCAGGGGCCCGTGTCATTGCTTGTCTTCTCCTGGAGGCGTGGGAGTCTGGAAATTGGGGGGGGGCAAGGATGAGGGTCAGGATGTGCTACAAGATGACCTTCTCCCTTCCCTGCTTCCTGTCGCCCCCTCCCCTGCCCGGAGAGTATCTCATTACAGCCTTTGGAACCCGGAGGGCCTCCCTTTCGCCTGTGGTTTAAAACCAACCTGCAATTTGGTGGGGAATCAACAGCTACGTTGCCCCCACCAGGCGGCAAAAAAAAGCAGCCGTCATCAACTTTTGGACGGGTTTGAGTTTCAGAAGTGGGAGGGCGTGGGAGGGCCTCGGGGGGGGCAGCCCCGGCCCCGGCCCCCAAGCCAAATGCCAGCAGCTGCCAGCATTGGGGAGTAAAGGCTGGGTGGGTGGGGGCGACAACAGAAGAGAAGGTGGTTTCAGGCCTCAGAAGGGTCCCCAGGGATCACCTCTTCCATTGCACACCAAACCCCCCCCATCCCATTCCATCCTTTCCGTGCAGTAAACCCCTCTGGATGCCGACGGAGTTAAATTTCAGGCTCCTTTTCCTTTGCAGTGGTGGATTTGGCCACAGCTTCTTAGTTGGGTGCAGGATGTGTTTTCCTGCAAAGCAACCATTCTTTTTGCAAGGGGGAGGAAGTCCTGGTTGGGGGGGGCAGGGGGCTGCCTCGGAGCCAGAGACAGGAGGCGCACAAGGCCAGGGGTTGTTCAGCTTGGCCCAGATGCCAAGTCTCAAGGGACAGGGAGGAAACAGAGAGGACCCCACCGAATCGGGACATTCCGCTCGGAGCCGGAGACGGGAGGCACACAAGGCCAGGGGGTGTTCAGCTTGGCCCAGATGCCAAGTCTTGAGGGACGGGGAGGAAACGGAGAGGACCCCACCGAATCGGGACATTCCGGCCTTTTGGAAGGGCAAGGAATGGCCACCGAAGCCACGCAGAACACACACCGCTCGGTGCCCTTCCAAGTCTGGCAAAGGCTCTTAGCCTACGGGAGACGGGAGGCACACAAGGCCAGGGGGTGTTCAGCTTGGCCCAGATGCCAAGTCTTGAGGGACGGGGAGGAAACGGAGAGGACCCCACCGAATCGGGACATTCCGGCCTTTTGGAAGGGCAAGGAATGGCCACCGAAGCCACGCAGAACACACACCGCTCGGTGCCCTTCCAAGTCTGGCAAAGGCTCTTAGCCTACGGGGAGGCCGTGGTCTTCTCCTAAGGATGGGTTTCTTTTGGGTCGCAGGGTGAGGGAGAGGTACTTTGCCCCAGGGGCCGAGGAGAAGGAGAGGGCTGTGGTAGTGGTGATGGTGGTGGTGGGTCCCTGCCACTGCCCGTGCAGGATGGGATCCTTCTGGGAAGACAGATGCATTGACTCCGAGCTCCCCTCTGTTCCCCCGCAGGCGCTGAAGGCTCTCCAGGACATGAGCTCCACCGCCCAGCCGGGTCCGGCTCAGCCGTCCTCCCGCAAAACCAAGAGCATTCCGGTTCACGCCTTCGAGGTAAAGCGCCCGTCCGGGCCTCCAGACTTTTTAAGTTGCCGCTCGGGTTCAGTGCTAGGGTGAATCATGGCCTGCCTTGACTGAGCATGGCAGGGAAGGTTGGAAATGGCACCGGACGCGGCTTCTGTTTTTCGCCCTCAATCCTGCCCTAATGTGAAGGGTTCAGGCTGTTCCGAGTTCTCGTCCTTCCTGACTTGGTGGCCGCTGAATCGGGTGGCCAGTCGCGGGGAGGGCCCAGCACGACGGGGTCTGCGTCACCAGCAGAAGGAGAGATGGAAGAGAAGAGAAAAGTTCCAGTTAAAAATGGGTTGCAGAATCCATGGTCTCTTGTTGCAGAATCTAGACCGTGGGGTGCAGAATCCCACTCTTTTCGCTCTTGTCTGGGCCACGCTTAAAACTGTCCTTTGGTGACTCAGATAAATTCATTTTGCTTTCCTGTTTCGCCCGGGCCTTCCCCTTCCTTCCTCGTCCTTCGTTCTCTCCAGTCGGTTGAGTCTTTGTTTGCATGCTCCTTGGGGCAGAGACCTCACCTCTTTTGCTTTCTAAAGCACTCTGTGTGTGTGTGTGTGTGTGTGTGTGTTGGATGGCACGTTCTGAGTTGATGAATGTTGAAGAAGAGAATTGCCCTTAGAGACGCTCTCCCTTCTCTTCGGGCCTGAGAGGGGAGGGGAGGCAGGAGCCAGGGAGCCTCCTCGCTAGCAGGGATTAGGCCCGCCCTTCAGTTGCAGGACGCGGCGTGGGATCGTTTGGCGTTCCTGAAGCGAGAGGGAACGAAAGAGGGTCCTTTTCTAGAAAATGGGTTCTGGGGCTTCCTCAGAGCAGCTATGAGACGGGGCAAGCCTCCTAGTTTTGAATACTCAGGCTAGAATCTCGGCTGCATTCACATAAGATTTCCGTGGCTGGTCGTGGCTCATTACGGTTCATGGCTCGGGTGTTGGGGTGCATCTCAGCCGTGCCGTTGGGTGTGTGGCCAGTTTGTGTGGCCGAGACGCACCCTGACCCCTCATCGACTAACCGCAGCAAGTTGTGCAAGCCTGACTGGAGGCTTTCAAGTTGTGCAAGCCGGGAGGATCCTGGCCGTTGCGTGACCTGTGCAGAACGGAGGCAGCTGAAAGCAGCTCTTGCCTTCATTCGTAGGACTGCATATTGTGAGGTGGTTCACAAACGAAGCTAGAGAGTGGAAGCCAAGCAGAAGCTCTCCTTACTTCATCCCGTCAGGAGTAAAAGACCAGAATAGAGGACGCCCCTGCTTCTGGTCGGCTCCCTTCAGCCCAGGCACCCGTTTTGCGTGGGTGAGCGGGACTAGAAAGGAGGAGACCACCTCGCAGGTCGAATTTAGTGAGAACAGCCCTTGGGGCGGTTTACCTCATTCGGCCAATTAGTCACCTGACAAAAAGAATAAAGAGGAAATCAAAAGGCACCACAAACCGAAACAACAAAGGTGGATTCAGATGGAAGCCCGATAACTTGAATCAAACCAAGTTACATGAAACATACCATAATAAAGAAAATATACACTAGTATAATAAAGATAATCGAAAGCTATAATTCGCAGTAGAGCATACGGGTCTCCCAGATCAGCCTAAGAGGCTGCCAAAGGCCCCCTCCTGGCCCGGTACCCATGGGGGATTGGTTCCAAGCCCCCCCCATACTGAGAAGCATAGATTATAGAGAACACTATTAAATTAGTGAATCCTATACATTGCATGGTCTCTGGCTCCTTCTCGTGGCCTGTTCTGGTAACATTGCTTTTTATATACTTTTATATATAACTTTTGTATGTACAGTATATATGTATATATATGTACAGTATGTATGACTCTGTCTAATGACAGAGCTAGTCCTTGAAATGTTACTAATCCACAAAATTATTATTTGACAAGAACCCTAACTCAGTTTCAGTTTTGTTGTGTAGCCAATATATAGTACACAGTAAATGTCAGTACAGTTGTCGATTTTAGAAAAAACAAGAGAGATTAGTTCTTAGCATGGGAAAGTGAAAACATCAGAGCTCATACATGGGAAGGGTTGGTTCAAGGTCAGTGGTTCCCAACCTTGAGTTCCCAGATGTTCTTGGTTTAAAACTCCCAGAAGCCTTCATCACTAGCTGTGCTGGCTTGGATTTATCAGACTTATAGTCCAAGAACATTTGGGGACCCAAGATTGGGAGGCACTATTCTAGGTAAACAGAGATACAATTGCACTCAAAATCTACTTTGAATCTGGTACAAAATAAGGTGTAACATCTAGAACTGCCCAAAAGCTGTCAAATAGGATAATGATAATAATAACTGTGTGCCATCAAGTCACTTACCTGGGGATTATTTTTGAGGTAGGACTTATATTACCATCATCCTGAAAAATCACACTAAGGCTTATTTTCAGGTTAGGTCTTATTTTTGGGGAAACAGTATATACATATATATTCTCTTTTTCTTTCTCCCTCTCTCTTTGCATATATATATATGTATATACACTGTGTGTGTGGGGGGGGAGATTTTTCTTTTAATATTTGTAATATTTTCAGACTGGATGAGTGAATCAGTGGATAATGATCCCACAGATAAGGGGCGGTCTTACTGTATTTTCCCCGTGTCCTCTTCTTAGGTGAAGCTGGACCTGACGTTAGGAGACCTTGCCAAAATCGGGAAATCCCAAAAGTATACCTTAAGCGTGGACGTGGAGGGCGGGAAACTGGTGGTGCTGAAGAAGCAGAAGGATTCCCAGGAGGACTGGAACACCTTCACGCACGACAAGAGTAAGGAGGTGGTTCTTTTCAGCGGGTACCCAAACGGCCACCCTGTGCCTCCCGGAGGGAGTGGCTCTCTCTCTCTAGCATCCTCAGGGACGCAACTTTGGCCCCACTTGACGAGGTCCTTCCGGAGGGCTCACATCTTAGAAAGTGAGGCCAGTTAAAAATATTTTAGGTAAAGAGAGAAATACAGCTAGGCGGAGGAATGGGTGAAACGGTCTGGTGCCCGCCCACCCACCTCCAACTTGGAGCCATGAGGGTGATACGGATGACCAGTCTGGCCAAAGTCACCCGTTCCTACTTGTGGGGTCTTGAGACTGGACAGGGGGGGAGGGAGGCAACAGGCAAACCCTTCCCTAAAAGCACCATCTGAGAAGAGATGGTCAAGGAGGGGGACAGGGAGGGAGAGGCTGAAGGGCAGGTTTGCTGGAAAGAGGGCTCCGTCCCTGGAGCGTCTGCGTTGGTTCCCCCCTCCCCAGAAAACCCTAACTCTACCCCCCCGGCCTCTCTCCTCAGTCCGCCAGCTGATAAAGTCCCAACGGGTGCAGAATAAGCTGGGCATCGTCTTTGAGAAGGAGAAAGACAAGTCCCAGCGGAAAGATTTCATCTTCGTCAGTGCCAGGGTGAGTCCGATCCTCTTGCTGCGGGGGGGGGAGGGGGGCTGGTCAGGCAGCCTCAGGCTCTGGGGCCAGAAATGTTCTCAAAACCTCCTCCTCTTTATGCTCTGCTATTTTCTAGCCCAAGAGGGATCACCTCCTTGTGGTGGAAACCCCAAACCTCATGGTTGTCTGGGGTGGAAAATGGCTTTGGGTCAACCGCAAAGTGGTTTGCGTTTGCTTCCTTGCCTTCATTTTCTGCCCTCTTGTGTTTTGGGGTGTTTTTTTTTTTAATGGTCTCTTTTGGAGGACAGGGTTCTCTGAGCCCGCTGCTCTGACCCCCACTCTCCGAACTGGCCCGCCACGGCCCTGGGATGGGGTCCCTGACCCTCGGCCAGAGTTGAAGGTGGATTCCTCAGCCCATCTGGGGAAAGAAGCCATCCCTTCACTTTTTCTTCAGGCTAACCTTGGTGATGGTTGTTGTAGGTTTTTCGGGCTGTCGGGCTGTGTTCTGGAGGTTGTTCTTCCTAACATTTCACCAGTCTCTCTGTGGCCGGCATCTTCATCGATGGGTGTTGTTCGCTGGTCTTTTGTGTGCAGTGATCCCTAGTGAGGTTGCCACGCTCTGCGTGAAAACGCAGAAGCAAACCATCGGTTAATTTTCCTTGCATGGTCGGGTCAGGCTGGTCTGCCTTTCAGCTCTCACCTTGCAAAACTCCCTTTCTTTCCTAAAGGACCTCCCGCACTGTTGCATGGATAAGTGTTGGAGGAAAAGAAGCACTCCTCTGGTCTTTTGTGTGCAGTGATCCCTAGTGAGGTTGCCACGCTCTGCGTGAAAACGCAGAAGCAAACCATTGGTTAATTTTCCTTGCATGGTCGGGTCAGGCTGGTCTGCCTTTCAGCTCTCGCCTTGCAAAACTCCCTTTCTTTCCTAAAGGACCTCCCACACTGTTGCATGGATAAGAGTTGGAGGAAAGGAAGCACACGGAGGCAGAGGGGCCAGGAAAGGGGCAGTGGGTTAGCCAGGTATATTTGTGACGCTGGGGAAAGAGGAGCCCTTGGCTAAGACGCCCCAGACGCCCTGGGGAGCTCAGGGTTGGGGACTTGCATCATCTTTCCCTCGTGCAGCATCACTCACACACACCAAAAGCACGGCATCGTAACCATAATGATATAAACTGATTAAAAACAGGGGAAATGAGGCCCCCCCCGGAGGATTTCCCTCGTGCAGCATCACACACACACCAAAAGCACGGCATTGTAACCATAATGACATAAACTGATTAAAAACAGGGGAAATGAGGACAGCAGAGAAATGAGTTTTTAAGGTGTACCAAGGTTATGGGCGTGTTTGTTTCCAAGCTTTCTCTGCAGTGCTGAGGACTAGCGACTTGATTGTTTTTAAAAGCGAAAGGAAGGAGGTGTCAGAAAGTTGGGAAGCCTTAAGCGGTGGGGACGTGTCTGTCTGAATGTCTCCCTCTGGCAGGTGTCTGTCTGATGCCCTCTTTCCCCCCCCCCATCCCCGTCTCCTTCCCTCCAGAAACGGGAGGCTTTCTGCCAGCTGCTGCAGCTGATGAAGAACAGACATTCCAACCAGGACGAACCGGACATGATTTCCATCTTCATCGGCACGTGGAACATGGGTGAGTGGCGTCCCAACCCCCAACCCCCCCGGGGTGTCAGGCGGTGTGTTTCTGTCGTGTGCAGGGGGGGGGACCCGAAGGCGAGGCTTCCTTCCCTCCAGTTGTGAGGTGACCCTTCCTGGGCGATCTCGTGAGCCCAGGCACCCCACCATCAGATCCCCAAAACGTGGCCACAGGAAGATGGGGTGGGGGAGTGGGGCAGGATGGTTAAACTGCATCTCACCTATCTCAAAAGCCTTTTAGGGCCACTGTATGTAAGAAGTGACCCCAAAGGTTCAAGCTTTTGGCACTCAAATGCAAAGCTGTTTGGCAGCAGCTGGCAGAAACAAACCCACAGTTTGGGACCACATTAGTTGTCAGAAAATCCCTCCCCAAGGTCATCTGCCCGACCCACCCGATCCTCCCAGGCTAGGCTCCTGCAGGCAGCCACCGGGAGGGAGGCCCGAAAGTCTTCCAACACGGAGCAGGGTCTTCTCTGTGGTGGCCACGACTCTATGGAGCCAGCTCCCAGTAGAGCCACTCAGAATAGTGCATTGTGCTGATGGGGCGAGGGACGGACGGACGGACGGACGGACGGACGGACGGACAGACAGACAGACAGACAGAGAGAGAGACAGACAGACAGACAGACAGATAGTAGCATAGAGTAACAGCAGAAATCGATCAATAAAATTTCCAGGCTCTGCCTGAAGAAGCCAGTGTTCTGCCCGCACCACAGCTACAATCTCACGTGGTCTCTTTGGTGGAAAAACTCCCCATGATGGGCTTCACAAAAGGGCGAGGGCCTGGAGCGGGGCCTTCTCTGTGGTGGCCACGACTCTGTGGAGCCAGCTCCCGGTAGAGCCGCTCAGAATAGTGCATTCTGCTGATGGAGCTATAGATGGATGGATGGACGGACGGACAGACATACAGACAGACACAGATAGAGAGATAGAGAGATAGTGGCATAGAGTAACAGCAGAAATCGATCAATAAAATTTCCAGGCTCTGCCTGTAGAAGCCAGTGTTCTGCCCACACCACAGCTACAATCTCACGTGGTCTCTTTGGTGGAAAAACTCCCCATGATGGGCTTCACAAAAGGGCGAGGGCTGGGTGTGTGTGTGTGTCCTCTTTGGTCCGGGATCTTCTCCTCCCTCCCTCCCTTCTCTCTCGGTGTCTTGTCTCTCCGTCTCCGTCTCTGAAGGCTGGTCTGCTTCCTTCCACTTCCACCCCCATCCCACCCCAACCACCCCCTCTTGGTCGCAGGGAGCATCCCGCCGCCCAAGAGCATCTCCTCCTGGCTGGCCTCCAAGGGCCTGGGCCAGACTCTGGACGAGACGACGGTCACCATTCCCCACGACATCTACGTCTTCGGCACCCAGGAGAACTCCATGGGGGACAAAGAGTGGGTGGATTTCATGCGGGGCGTCCTCAAGGACTTCACCGAGATCGAGTACCGGCCGGTAAGTGGGGGATGGGGGGGTGGCAGAGGTGCGCTCCTCATCCTCCTCTCTGTCCTCAAAGCTCACTGTGTCTCTTGAACCCGTGGCTGCTTCTCTTCCCACTCACCACCACCTCCGTGAAAACAGCTTTCACGTGCCTGCATTGGGATGGTTTGCAATTTTCCCCACCTATTTTGTTTTGGTTTGTTTTGGCCATTTGTCTGAGAAATGGGGATAACTCCCTGCCCCTTACCTTTTTCTGGTTCCTTTGCAAAGGGAATGGGTGGTAGGATCATAGAAGACATTGCACAGAGAGCGGTGGCCGGAAATGACTCCCGGTGAAGCAGAAAGAAGAAAGTGTCAAAGTGGGACTGTAGTTGAATATTTAAGAAGACAAAACTCAGAAGGTCTGCAGAAGAATGACATTGCTTTGAGGTTGCCGATGAAGAAATCCAAACGGTTAAAAATATCCCTTGAGCCTGGGGCTCCAGTCATCAGTCCTGGTGGGGACAACAGCCCAGAAATCAGAGGAAGACGGAGGGCAGAATAAATATAAACTATATATTTTAAATTTGAAAGAAATCAACCCTGAGTGCTCCCTGGAAGGACAGATCCTGAAGCTGAGGCTCCAATCCTTTGGCCATCTCATGAGAAGAGAAGACTCCCTGGAATAGACCCTGATGTTGGGAGTTAAAGTCCCAAGGTGTCAACGGCGCGGGACCCCATGAAGCCCCTTGGGCTCCTGACGAGGGGGTGGGAGGCTCCTGATCGCACAGATTGTCCCACAACATCGGTGTCTAATCCACCCCCTCTCGTCAGGACCCTCATCAAACGGCTTGGTCTTCCACTCACGCTCTCTTCGCAATTCCTCCTCTCTCGACGCCACGATCACGTTCCACTCTTTCACGGTGACATACGGAGAAGTCCCTTTAATTGCTGGAGGATCGGGCAAAAGGCCGCCCACTTTCAAGTTTGGGAAATCTCTGATAAGCCCTTGGGTGCGGACCCTTCCAAAAGCCCTTCGTCTTTCCTCCTGCTTCTTCCTCTCATACGCCTCCACTACTGAACTGAACCACACCACCCCCTCCTTATCCTTATATTCCTCCCCAACTGTCACCTTAGACTCCTTCCACTCCCCTTCAGCTAAGCATACCTCTGCCTTCCCCTCCCCCTCTTCCGCTGTCATCTCCTTTCCCTTTTCTTCTCCACTTTCACTGCTACGTGGTTGATCCTTTTCTCCGTCATTGCCTTCCACTTTCCTCTCTGCGGACGGCACACTTCTATCCACTACACCTTCACAAGCGCTCCTCCTGCACAAAAGTAATTCTGCTCCCTGAACCAAGGTGGGAAAGCGCCTTGTTCTCCTTCCATGGGAACAGTTGCTCCGGCTTCTCTCCAGCTCTCCTGCTCTTTCTCCTCTCCTATCTTGGCTCACAGCCCCTTCCTCGTGTTTCTCCCTCCGGTGGGCTGAACCAAATGGTCCACAGGGGTTACGCAGGGAAGTTCTACCGGAGGCCGACGCCAGGATCACAAATACAGTGGGATTCCTGATTGCTCTGTCGGGACGCGAAAGCTGGACAATGAAGAAAGCTGATGGGAAAAAGTTTGAATCTTTTGAAACGTGATGCAGGAGAAGACCTTGGCAGATGCCGTTGGAAAACAACTATTCTTTGGCCACATCGCTGGGACGTGGTGGATTCCGGGCATGGTGGGGTGAGGGGGAGTTCTTTGTGTTTTGGTCTATGAATATTATGGTTTGGAGCTCACTATTTATGTCTTTGTGGGTTGGAGTGGGTAGATTTTTTATAGCTGTTAGTAGCCCAGGATAATACCTGGTCACTAGATGGATGGGAGGTAAATGAAAATGAATGAATGAGCAAATGAATGAATGAATTTCATAGTCTAAAGAAAAATGGATGTTCCCCAAAACAGCCAGTGATTTCAGGTTACACCCCCACCCCACCCCTCCCGGTTTTCCCTTTCCAGATTGCCATGCAGTCTCTGTGGAACATAAAAATCGCTGTCCTCGTGAAGCCGGAGCACGAGAACCGAATCAGCCACGTTAGCACCTCCAGTGTGAAGACGGGGATCGCCAACACGCTGGGTAAGAGAGGAGGGCTCTCGGGCGGAGGTGGGGGGGGGGCGGCTGCCCCGGATGACTCCCGCAGGAGGCGGAACAAGCAAACCAGGGTTGTGGTCTCCTTGTTG